CATGATTGTGTGAAGGGAAGGATCCGCCAGAAAGGGGTTCCAACCGCTTATTAGTTTCTTGAAAACAGGCATGTCCTCTACTGGAATAGTAGGCATCTTGTTAAGGGGGGACATGGATCCAAAATGGGAATAGACCACTTCTGTATACAATCCTTACCAAATGGATACAAGGCTAATAAGCACTTGAGGGAAACAAAGAACTTACCAGGATGCTTCAAATTTCCACAGAGATAGTTGTAAAAGCTGGCGCAAAGGAAAACTCTTTGCAGCCCTAGGAATTAGATGACTTAAGGCTGGAGACAACACTGGTTGAAGCAAATCAATCACCATATACCTTAGTATCATGGGGTTTTATGAGGCATCAGATATCAATTTAGTTAAATATATCATTGTATTATTCCAAATGATTAAAATACATAAATAGCATTAAAAACAATGTTTGCATACAAACCACATGCACGCTATAGAGATAGATACTCATTTTTGTTTTTGTACAATGCAGTCCATTCAAGTGGACATAATATTCATAGATCGTTTCTCCACTGTGACATGCGTTGAAGTCTGATGCCTCATAAAACCCCTATAATACTAAGGTATATGGTGAGTGAATTGTAACAAGGAGTGAGGAGCGAGAACACCTGGGGGATTAGTCCTGTGTAGATGTGGAGTAATTTACTGGTAGAAGCAAAGACTGACTTTCTGAATTTGAGAGTATTAACAGATTACTCTTTAGAAGTAAATTTATCAGTTAAGGACTGGAGCAACTCAGAATCAAAGAGTCCCTGGGGCCAATTGCTTGCTAAGGCCATGGGCAAATCAGATATAGAATCTGCAGGAGAGGGATTAGGAGCGCACTTGTGGCCTCTGTGGTCAGAAACTAAAAGTGGATGATTGGGGCCATAAAGTCCTGCATGACCGTGGAAAACACCTCAGCTCCAAAGGGCAGAGAATCCAGCCACACCTGAGAACTCCAAGGACAGAACAGACTCCAAGATCAACAAGTCTTCAGGCTGCAGACATACGCACCATTAGCATGTGTTGCAAGCAGCTCTGTAGCTGTTCATAGAAAGTGAGCTGGGGGCATCCCCTACAGCAGGGATGACCCCCCTAGAACCTAGAATCAGATATCCAGCAGGCTGAACAAAAGAAATCACTTGACTTCCCTATCCATGCTAAACAGCTTAGATGAAAGAATCTCCCCTGCTAGGCTATTGTATTCTGACAGCCGACATCCGCCATTGTCAGAATACCTGAACAGTGACCGCATCTAAATGTCTGCAGTCACTGGCTGGGAATTTTCTACCCAACTCCTTTGATTTTCAGATCATAGTTTGTCAAGCTAGGTAATTCCGACAGGGCCACTCATGGGTCAAATTGCGGCTGATTTAGCAGGAATCTGTATGGCTAGCTTAAGTGTCACTATAGTATATTGTTCAGCAGCTTATTCTGAAAATGTCTAGCTGCCTGTAAAAGTCCTGTGTATAATTCTGCTCCAAAGAAACAACTAGAAAGGTAATAAATATTTTGTAAAATTTGTTTTAGGTATGCTGTGCTGTGATTGGGAACACATAATAAACATATAGCAAGGGTCTCCTAAATTTACACATTAAAACTTCCTGTGCCCCTCAATGGACAAAAAGAAATTGGATGTTTCCACCCAGTAATGAGCCAGATTTAGGTTATTACCACTTTACAATAAATAGCTTCTTTACTGGAACTTTATGTTCACTTGTTACCATCTATTTAAGTAATGTTAGCTTTTATTTTTTAAAGATCATCTAGGATGAAAAACAGCATTTTATAACATGGTTAATTAAAGAGGGCCTAGCAGCAGATATATTTTATGTTATGCACATGCATGAAAAGTAACAAGTGAGTATAACACTTAGGGCTAGTTCACACCACAAACAGTGCGTGCAGACCCGATTTGGTGCTGGAATGCACTGGATCACATCCCAGCCGGCTCCCTGCGTTCAGGGGCGGGAGGGGGTGTGGCGGTGCATTGAAGTCAATGGCCCCCCAACCACAGTGCGAGTGCAGGCATTGATGTGCCACGCATTCGGGTGCGGGTGCTCGCAATGCAGCCGGGGGCATGGCTGTGGTGCCATCAACTTCAATGCACTGCCACACCACCTCCCGCCCCTGAACGCACCATACTGGAACGCACTGTCTGTGGTGTGAACTAGCCCTTACAGGAATTTAGCATGTCTTGCAGAGTTCACAGTACTCCCCCTGACATCTGCTTTTGTCTCCAGAAGGACAGAACCATCTTAGTTTAAGCATCAACCAGGTTCAGCATCTACTTCCTGGACTGAGAAGCCTACTCAAAGATGTCAGTTTTATTCTTGCATGTTTTTAGCAAATATCTGACACAGATCGACCCCTTCTGCTGCCCTTCTGACTTGCTACAAAATGACAATTTACAGCCTGAGTAATCACTGGGAGAGAGGAAATGCTTTGTCTTGCCTGCATGATCTCAACCTAGGAAAATTCACTGACTGGAGTTAAGTACATTGTTTTAATTAGGGATGCATCGATACTAGTATCGATATTGGTGCTGATACTGAGTATTTGCTCCCGATACTTATCTCGATACTGGAACTTCCAGTATCAGGAAGCCAGGCAGTAAGTCATTACACGCCGCCCAGCTTCTCGATTGGCTGGGAAGCTGGTTCCATGCTCCCTCGTCACCAGGGAGCAAGGAGCTGGTTTACCGGCCAATCAGGAAGCCAGGTGGCGTGTAATGACTCGCTGCCTGGCTTCCTGATTAGTCGGGAAGTTGGCCAATCAGGAAGCTGGGCGGTGAGTCATTACCCGACCCCAGCTTCCTGATTGGCCGGAAAGGTGGCTACATGCTCACTCGTCACCTAATCAGGAAGCTTGGCGGCAAGTCATTACTAGCCCCCCGGCTTCCTGATTGGCCAGAAAGCCGGCTCCATGCTTCCTTGTCACCTGGGGGCGAGGGAGCATGAAGTCAGCTTCCCGGCCAATCAGGAAGCCGGGTGGTGTGTATTGACTCGCCGCCCGACTTCTTGATTGGTCCGGAAGCTAGTCAATCAGGAAGCTGGGCGGTGAGTCATTACCTGACCCCAGCTTCCTGATTGGCCGGAAAGGTGGCTACATGCTCCCTCGTCACCTAATCAGGAAGCCGGGCCGCGAGTCATTAATGGGACTACCGGTATCGGTATCGGGCGAGTACCCCAAAAAATATTGGTACAAAAAAATATTATTATTCGATACCGAAAAAACTGTGCATTCCTAATTTTAATGATAAAAGGTGGAGCTTTTTAGGAAAAATTATACTGTTGCTTTATATTGTAACATGTCACAAATGTATTCATACAGACTTGTAAAGCTACTGAAAGGTTCATTTTAAATATGCCATGATGACAATACTGTGAAGAAGGGACTTTACCAGCAGAGTGTTTTTTTATTCAGTATCATGGACATTTGTGTTTGTTTTAAAAAGCAAAAAAAAAAAAAAAAATTCACAAGTTTAGAATACAATGCAATCCAGCATATGATGCAAATTCTCACTTCCTACTCATTAATGTACCTGCCATAATGTTCTGGCACCTGTCCTCCCACTTGGCCCTCTTACGTAAATCTATCTAGGTTGTTCCAAGTTGCTTGTAGATTACATTTATAAAGTTTTAAGAATTGAAATCTACGGTGCTCTTGCAGGGCTGACAGTGAAATCATTGTATTAAATACGCATTCTTGGTCTTTATTTATCACCTGGCTCTATTTAATAAACAACAGCAACCAATGCCAAGTCCATCTTGAAATAGTGTAATCCACTATTCTAATTGGTTGCTATAAGTAACATAATGCCAGTCTGTGTTGCCCATTCAGCCAACCAGATTTTCAGCTTAGTTTTCCTTCTGCATTATTAGGGTGAATCAAATAGAAAATCTGTTTGATTGGTATGGGCAACAGTCTGTGTTGCCAGTTACATAGTCACAAAGATCTCCAGCAACCAGGATTAACCCTAGATTTGTCCATTCCATAGCTATTCTTTGAGAACTGATCATTTCTCAGAGGAAATTCTGCAATGTGGAGTCCTTTTTTAATTTGGTAAACAATTGTCTATTTTTGTATTTACGATGAATAAACCACCCAGCGCAATGTGCATTTCTTCTTTTTTACTATCTGACATTGCCGTGTGTGCTTTTTTGGATGAATTTTACAACCAGTAAAATCATTACTGGGACAATCTGTGGTACAGGAGATAATTCGCCTGAGAAATCTGCCAAGTGTGGCACTGTCATTTGTCTTTGGCTAAGGTAACTAAAAAGCGTCAAATGCAAGATAATCATCTGCAGTTTTGTGTGAGAATCAAACAGTAATAAAAATGTTATGCAGCTTTCAGACACTTCAGGCTTATTTAATGTGGTGGCACAAAATACTGATGACTGTATGCAAAGGGCTGTAACACACAGCAACCAGATACCTGCTAGACAGATGTAGTAAGATGAGTTGATTTGTAGATTTACTATGATTTTTAATTTGTTGTCCTGCAATACCGCACTTTGGGCATAGCCATAAATTCCTGAAAATGTCCTTCTAAAATATGCGCAATCGTTTCAAACATTGTAGTGAAACAAGATATATACTGTATATAGCTATTTTGATCTGGTAAACTATTATTATTTTCAAATATTCAATCTGCAGGAAGTGTAACAGGTTCACAAGCAAATTATCTCTAGCTTTTGTGGACATTCTGGCGGGCATGCTGGGACTTGTGGCCCCATAGCAGCTGGAGAGCTGCAAAGCACTAAATGTAAGGAAATATTATGTATAAGGAAATATTCTAGTATTAAAGGGAATACTCTAGTATAAACGGGAATACTGTAGTATATAGGTGAGCACAAACAAGATTAGACCTGCTCTACAGCAAAATATTGGGTAGACAGACAGTAATAACGAAATTTATAGGCAAACCAGTCACCGGAAGTATCCCTGACTGTACAACCCAAAAAAGATAAACAGTTGCTTACGCCAAAGAAGGAGCTCAGTCCATCACTCCATAAAACGGCCATATCGGCTCCTTCAAACTCCCCTCGGTCGGACATACCGAAAATCATTCCAAATTTCAGGTCCTTGATAAGGATCTGGAAATACACCACTTTTTCGGTGTAGCTGACATTCCAAAAAAGACGGAGCGACCCTTGAGGATCCAGAGGGACGCTGTAGGGATAGGAGCTGTCGACAGGAGCTGTTCCATGGAGGGAGACCATGAGAAGGGCTAAGAAAAGGCCAATCATGATGAAATAGATGGGGACAACCTTTCTGATCTGCAGGTGAGAGGGACAGGAGAGCTTCCTGGTCGCCATCGGTTAGAATACAGAGGCAGACCATTGCTGAGTGACTTTTTATACCTCGGAGAATCTGTGCAGGTTGGGTCAGCAGAGTTTTGTAATCACATTTGGCTGATCGCAAATCTCATTCTGCATTCAGGCCCTTAGGTCATGCAGGCCTCATTGGCTGCCACACGCTGATAGGCCCTAATTGCCTAGGCAAGTTTAAAGTGAATTTTACAGGCTGTGACGTCTCTAAAAGACAGCTGCTGCCAAAATGTACTTCCTCACCTGTGACAGAAGGCCTTTGCTTTATGTCAATCTGCAGTTGATTGTTGTCTAGTTTGACCATTTTCATATAGATCTGGTAACAGACTCACGTCCAAAGCTCCCAACTGCCCCCCATTTGGATGACTGCTCCTTTTGTGGAAACAAAATCCCTCTGTTACTCATTCCTTCTCAGAATGTCCTCTATTTTAGCTCAGGTGTAGAGATCTGAAAACATACTGTTTAACTGCCAAAGTGTTTTATATTGCAGTAACTTTCCATCCAATCTATAGATTTTATTTTTTAATGCTATTTATAAAGCAAAAGGAGTGCTGAAAAAAGCCCCTGTAGGATTGAGTGATCATTGTTGCACTTTAATTCGTAATGGTTTGTATGAATGGTGGTATGGTAACTGTGTATCATTTGCCTAAATATTCTGTATTAAAAAACGAGTCCCTTTTTTGCATTGTATAAAGTTGGAAGTTATGCATGTCTGGTCTATAGTAGCCTTTCTCAACCAGGGTGGCGTAGCACCCGGGGGTGCCATCCAGCTTTCTCAAGGGTGCCTTGAGATTTTTGCACAGTGTCATGACTTTTCAGAAGGGGGTGGGGCTCTGATATAAAAGGGGGACTCTGATATAAAAGGGGGTGAAGCGGAACTCTGATGTGAAAGAGGAGATTCTAATGTGAAAGGGGGAGCTTTGATGTGAAGGGGGCTCCTGATTTGAAGGGGGATTCTGATGTAAAACGAGGAAGACAGATAAGGGTGTCTTAAGATTTTGCATAATTTAACAGTGTGTCAGGCCTGGAAAATGGTTCAGAAACACTGATCTTTAGGACCAAAAAAATGCCCCTGACTGGCCAAGAATATTTGAAAAATTAATTGACCAATAGTGTATCTCCTGAAATAAACCAGTGTGTCTTCTTCTCTCCATAGTTTGGATGTGCATGGTTGGGTGACCCAGACATCTACTTTTATGCACAAAGCAAATGCCCTTCATCAAACATCCAACCATCACCTGAGGTATATGGCCTACAGCAAGCTGAACAGGCTGGATCAGACAAACAAAATGTAAAGTCTGTATGTCCCACTCATGATAAATGACTGACCAGTCTCAGAAGTAAAAAAACAAAACATCAGGCAGATTAAAAAGCTGTCTACTCACTACTGTTCTTGACTACGATAAGCAGCAGCAGTAGAGCCTGCCATTGCTGCTACCCGCCCCCCCCCCCTCTCCATTGGCAAAGGAGCAAACCACAAGAGGTGACTTGTTGTACTTGAGGGCAGTTGGATTGTGTGTTGTGTGAGCACGTTTCACTCCCCTGTAAAGTCTATTGATGGCCTGAGGCAATAACATTTTCCATAATGCATAAAATGACTTTTTTCGAATCATAATCTTCTGCTAGAGCATTTGTTATGATTTGTCCTTGCATGGAATATTAATTTGGGGATTCTGCTAATGAAATCTAGGAAACATTTCCACAGAAAGACAGCTCAGTTTAACTGAACCTGAGTCATACGTATATCTATTTTCCAATATCCTTCTCAGTGATAAAAGCTGAGCTTTTAGAGTGCAGGTAAGAGCGAATGCAGCCTCATGATAGGTATTCGGTCTGTGCAATTTCCCTTCCTAAGAACCACTGCTCCCTGCACAAAATACTTGTTGTAGGCTGCTGCAAAATAAATAAAGGCTAGAAATAACCTCTTTCTAGATGATGGAACTGTCCTGAGATGTTGGGAATTATAATATGTGTGTATGTTAAAGTGTATGTGCAGCCAAAACATTTTTATCCTAGTTTTGGATAGTGTGGGAAAAGGGTTAAAACTCATTTTAGGTTTTTACTGCAGTCTGGGTCTCCATTAGAGAGAATTACCCTCACTTCCTGTTCTGCTGCCAAAGTTTACTCTCCAAGAGCAACATAGACAGAAATGCAAATGGTGTTTTTTAGTAGAGTAAAGGTGGCCATACACTGTACAACCATCGCAAGACCTTAGTCTTGCGATGGTTGTAAAGGGATTAAAAAAACATACGATCTGCCCATCTTGGACGGGCAGATCGCACTCTCGATCATCGCAAGCCACGACCCCTGAGGGGCGGGCTTGCGATGACTGTAATGAGGGGCGGGCTTACGCTGACTGCAAATGGGCAGTGTGCGCATGCGCACACCGGCCCGTTCGGCAGTTGTCGAACCAGGAGGCCACCAACTCGCCGAGAATCGTACGATTTTCGGCGGGTTTTCAAACATGCTGGTTCGATGGAAACGTGCGACCGTACAGTAGAAACGGTCGCATGCCTTCCATACACTGCACAATTCTCGTACGATCGCGGGATTTCCCGCGATTCTCGTACGAGAATCGTGCAGTGTATGGGCACCTTTAGTCACTGTTGCAGATTTTCCCTCACTTCCTGTCTGGTGAAACCATTGTCAGCAGGATAGGAAATGAGGTTAAATCTCTCTAACGGAGTCCCAGATAGCAGTGAAACCTAACAATCCAATCCAAATATATCCAAATATAGTTTTTGGCTTGACATACACTTTAAGACATGACTATGCTTTTAGAGAGACTTTTGTGGGTATGTTTGAACCACCTGTGGACTTCATGGGATTACATGCTTAGGAAAAAGGAATCTCTATATGCCAAGTTTGGATATATGCATCTTTCTGGACCCTTACACTTTTACAAGACCCAGTCATGCAGAGTGCAGCTTACAATAGCTCCTCACAAGCTAAAACTGCAGACTTTTTCTAAAAGAAAGAAAGGAATCATGCATAGAATAAAATAAGAAAGATTTAAAATATGTATCTATTTAATAAAGTATATATGCATTGAGAGATATACTGTACATGTTTTCATTGGGAGCGTAAGGGTTAACTTTCACTTTAAGGCCTACATAGCTGGCAACAGCAATAAGACGCTCAGCCGTCCAGTACGTCAGGAAATTAGATAAGGCACAATAGACGCACCTGCTTGTCTGTGATTGGACGAATGCTCTGTCCAGGCCTCGCTGCTCCAGGCCACATGACATTTCAACTCTCCTGATATTCTCCTATTCATTGGCTTTATTCAATTTACCTGCTCGGCACTTGGATAATATAAGGCTTACACAAATACATAACCCTGAGGGGAACAGAGAGTGATGGTGACAAGTCATCAACGCCGTGTACGTGCAAGAGAGCATCTGGAAAGGAAAAAGAAATAATGGATCAATTTGTCCACAGGACTAAGTAATTTATTGATTTTTTTTGTAAAATGGGAAGGGTTAAAATATTCATTACATTTCAGCAAAAGTGATTCTGTTGCTTGGAGTAGGGAGAAAGGCACATTGGATGGAGTGGGCTCATATGTTAGCAGATACTTCCAGGGACTAAGCTTGTTGCAGTGAGAAGAGACTTTTCAGGGTTGCAAATCACGATCTACTCAACAAAAGACTCATTTTATTGGAATACTGATGCATTTTTTAGTTTAAAGGGTCAGCCCACTAAAACAGATATTTCAGTTGCCTGGTGAAGTGAAATAAACCCCCTGACCAATTCCTTTTTCTCTCATGGGCTCAGTTGGTGAGATCTCTGTGCTGAATTCCTGGGTCTGCACACCCGCTGTGGCCATTATGAGCGGCTCCCACCATCCCTGCTGGATATTATATTTATTTTATATTATGGAGAATATAACAAAAGGAGCTGGGTCTGCCCAAATACTTTTTTCACTACTTGAGCACACAAGTGATTGCAACCAAAACTACCTTAACTGATTCACTGCAGTCGGAAATAATTTATTTTAGTAAGTTCTTCTGCTCTTCTAGGTGGCCATATAATAGGCCAATGTAAAAGATTTACAACAGCCAGACAGAAAACCTCTTTTGTTGTGGTAGTTGCTTTGTGAAATTTCAGGTAACCTTATTGGCACAACGCTGCTGCTCTTTAGTCTGCATTCTTAAAAAAACAGAGGACTGTATATTACTATATTAATATAACATAACCTAAATGTAATTTTAAGAAAACAACATTTATACCTCACAGCTGTCCCTCATTTGGAGGGACAGTCCCACATTTGGAACCAATTCCCTACATCCCTCTTTCCTCCTCAGTTGTCCCTCTTTTTAGTCTGACATACAGATATTAGGGCTGTGGAAATTAAAGATTAATTTCTCCTGAAACTTTCTACACGAACACCAGCCAAGGCATTGGCCTATACACATACAGCACGGCAATGAAGTAATAAAATGAACTAGGATCACACTAATCCAGCACGTTATTATTCTGAGTTGCCCCACTCAAGCGGCGGCCATATTGAGTGTGGCACGTAAGTTTAATAACGTGCTGGATTAGTGTGATCCTAGTTCATTTTATTACTTCATTGGTGTGCTGTATGTGTATAGGCCAATGTAGTTGGATCTGTATGTGCGTTATAATTAATCGAAATTAATCTATAAAAAAATTTTTTGATTAATCGAACACGAACATTTTAATCATTACCAGTCCTAACAGATATCTATGAAAATGTACTATTCGCTTACCAAAAGTGGTATTTTGCACTAATACCTTCATACAAACTCTTAATGATCTTGTTTGCTTTTTTGAAAAAGCCAGTATAAAGGAAATATATTGGTGACAACACAATTCTTTGTTTAATCAATCATTTTTGCAATATAAATTCTTAATGGTCCGCATAACTGGGGGCATGGAAGAGGTATGTCCATTGTCTAAAAAGTGTCCTTCTTCATCATCATTGAAAGATGGGAACATTTATTTCTGTTTATGTTAGTCCT